AACTAACAAGGAGATACGTAACAATACTTAATAATAACATGAATATATTCTCTAATGTGTTAATAAAGTTGATCAATCTTACTCAATTGTTTTCTTTTGAAAGGAACCATAAATTCATACTTTTTTGCCTATTGAGTTCAAATATACTTGTAAATGTCTTTATAAAACACTTCCCACTCCCCAATTATTAACATTACAAAATAAAACTTGACAAAAATTTTTAATTAAAATACAAGTTTTTTATAAATCATATCATAATCCATAGATAATTCAACTTAATTAAAGAAATGTCTTTTTAAGCATGAGTATGGATAATATAAGATACCTAATGTAAATATTATTGAAGTAGTGATTTGCATAGATCATTTATTAAATCATTCTGATTTACATAACATTACATAATGTAGGCTCATGAGAAAGCACTTCAATAACAAACTAATGTACCCAAAACAAAGACTGATAAATCTGAAATGAAAAAGCTTAATTTTACTTACCTTATTCAATTAGAGAATACTAAAACTCCTGTAAAAACTTATTACTCCAACAATCAAGTCATACAGAAATTAAACATTTGTATTTTATAATGCATTTGTGTATAAATACCTGTTCCAATAAATAACTATTTTTAAACATCCTACATTATCAAACTGTTTGTATCCATTAACATCACCCATCTCCAATGGTATGCATTTACTCAATAAGCATCAAGAGCATTTTCACATCAACTAATCATTGACAAGACAATTAATTTATTGGACTATAGAATCAAACAATGCCATGGTTCTACCACAATAAAATGCATGTAAAACAGCAAAGTACATGCATAAAGATTTTGAAATGAAAACGAAATTCACGACTCTGTTGATAAATTCTAATAGAGAAGCAGTAACTATGTAGCTTGGTAAGATGAATGTGCACAGCTAAATAGCACCTTCTGGCACTTCAGCACACTAGTGATCTCATACCAACAGAACTGCTTGTATCTTAGCATATCAGCACATATAACTGTTTCTTGAGTGACATCTACAACATCTTGCTCATATCCTGTTTCTTTACTGATGTCTGCAACAAGTTACAATATATCATTACAAATAGCCTCATTTTTTTGTAACTGATAAATACAAGTTACATGAATCCTACATATTAGTACATGCAGTCTCATTGTTTCTTTACTGATAACTGCAAGTTACATGTGTCCTTCATACCAATGCACACAGCCCCACTGTTTCTTTATGGGTATCTTACATATAACTCCACATAGCTTCACTGTTTATTTACTGACAACTACACATTACAATTATTCTCATTGTTTGTTTAATGATCTCTGTTATAAGTGCAACCATGGCTAAAATGTTGGGCAGGATGGTTTTCTTTTTTTTTAACTCCTGTCGATAAAATGTATAATCTGAATTACTATAAAACAAAGGATGCAATATGGTAGTTACAGGTGAAAAAAGCCTTGTGTATTTCATATACAAACAGTACATAAGTTAAACTCCTCGTTTTCTTTCTTACTTCATAATTCTTGCCATTGATATGTTTTCACAATAAACAAAGTGGCCAATCACAGATTTTCATAAAATAATAGCATTACCTTTTATTTTCATTAAATAGTTCAACTAAAACAAATGATGTGGAAAATAGGATATTATGCTATGAAAAAACAATAACTGAATGCAATAATACTTAACTTGCTTACAAATTAAACTACCTACAATATCAAAATGATTATAAAACAGTATCTGACATCTTACTTAGCAAGTTTGATTAATGCCATTCCTTCAATGTCTCCAACAGAATGAGCCTTCCAGTAACACTTCTTGGCTTCTTGAAGCTTGTCTAGCTTTTCATATGCCTCCCCAAGCGCAACCATCATCCGAGAGTCGTTTGGCCTGTAAACATATTATGTTTCTAAAAATGCTGTCAGCATTATGCTTTCTCGTGAGCAGTGGTTTTACCAACTAAGCTTTTCTTGATCTTCCAATGCACTGAAAAGAAATTTTCTCGCTTGACATGCTAGCCTTGACACCCCAGAAGTTCAAGTTGCTCATTTATCAAGCACAGAACCTGTGACAACCCTCCATCAATAGGAGCATGACATACTCTCCTAGAGCAGCTGGCTCCCTCTGTAATACTATACATGAAC